AAGGCCCTATAACCATGGATAATTATTTGTGAACCGCTTTGAGACAACTTACGAAATAGGTTGTGATAAAGCATTATATTTATTGGTATATATGCTAAACCTAATTTCTGCACAATTAAAAGCTGAAGTTATGTATTATGGTACAATGTATACCAATACATTATTCTAGTTATGACTTACAGAAATATTTACATTGGTACATAGACAATAACAAAATCAATTAATGCATTATGGTAGGTACATCGTAGCTATTGGACAATAATATTTTATCTTGCAAAATATATTTGTAAAGGTTATTTAAAGACTTAACTGTCAGCCATGACCTTCACCTTTCATCTTCTGACCATACCAAATCACAAGTGCCAAATTTAAATAAGATTGGATAAATAACCTTTGCACTTCCTTGCCTATAATGTGTGCCTACCAGAAATCATGACCTTAACCTTTGACCTTACAAATAGATGTGTGTTTAAGTACAGAGTACACACAGGTGAAACTATTTGACAGCTATAGAGTCAATGCTTGGGCAGGCAGTATGCATCTTCTAGTAGCTCTAAACATAACATTTAAGCAGAACACGAAGAACATGGTTAAGGAAGGATATGTAAAATGGTCTTCTATGTGGCAATGCTTTAAAGTGGAAACAAAGGTGGGAGGTTTAATGAGACTTCACTGACACCGAGTAATGCACAGCCTCAATAACTCACTAAACTTTACAATGATTTCTACATTACCTTTCCAATTGTTTCCAAATTTCCGTATGATGAAAACTCTCCCTCTTCCAATCTTCGCTCACATTCGTCCCGCCAATGTCGCCATTTCATGTCGAACTCTGCGATGGAGTGGCCTCGAAACAGCTGCTGTAAACCAGAATGACAACGATCACATAGTTGCCAGGAAACCAGAATCGTTTGACTGCTCAGAGATTGCTTTTTCGTCAATATTATTAAGGTTTTCTTACATTTAGTACAAAGGCTTCAACTGTTTAAGCTTAATCATATACATGTATTTACTGTCAACTTACCGTGTGCTGTGGCATTTTCTTGAGGAGTTCGTCCATACTGCTGAAAGCCTTGCTGTGTTTCGAGGAGTGGAGAGACAGTAGCCGGCGCACATGGTCCGCCTGGCCTTGGAGGACTAAGCGATAGATCTGAGACGACACGGAAATACAATGTAAACTAAAACCCCTCCGGGGTTACACGGAAAAATGGCAAATGGCACAACTTCTGTGGGACGACACAGAATTATATAGATATAAGCCAAAACCTCTTTGGTACAGCATAAGCATACAATATTGACAAATATTTCTCTGTGGTGAACATTTGTCTCCTAGGTGACACAGACCACAGCATAAAGAATCTTTCTAGAACATCTGGAGAACAACATACATTTCTGGGGTAATTCAGATTGTTTCAGAGTTGACACTTGAAACAACGTAAAAATAAGTCAGAAGGGTGTCAGAAATAGTACAAGTCAATAGAAAGAATGAAAAAGATGGAGCAACAACATCTAGATTCGGTATTTTATTTACCGCTTTTATGTTTTCGACTAGCACGGCAGCTGTCATCTGAACAATGGTATGCAACCTTACAGGGCCAAGGTAAAAATTACAGCTCGGGTAATAACGCTGTTACAACTATCTACAACACGCTATAACAACAACACTACAGGCATACTTATAGTCATATGATATATAATGGACAAACTTTTGGTGTTCAATACATGAATATTGAACTGTATACTATTAAAGCGTTCACTGGTTTGCTGTTATTGTTGACCTTATACCTATACCTACGGTACACATTGTCTTGCTCTATCGATGAAGTGAAGTTCTCTTGTTGGTTCTCCTGTCCTCCGTCTCAGGACTGAATTTTACAATATAAGTCAATATGTTTTCTCGGATAACATGGAAATGAACTATGCATCTGTTACAAGACAGATATACATCATAATTCAGTAAATGTGAATACAACACATGTCTGTCGTGACTCGATGTCTACAACTCAAACTCTTGATTTTGATGTCCAAATCGCTTACCGTGTCCCAGTAGAGTGGGTGGTGCTCTGGCTGTTCTTCTCGGATAATTTCCAGAAACATTTGTTCTCCCGTCTGGAAGTGGAACCGAAGCCATTCCAACAATGGAGCGATCACCAATCCACCTGAAGTACAAATAAATGTGAAACAGTTTCCGTCACACCTTATTCAGATCATCTAGGTGGAGTCAAAACTGTCGTCACTATTTTCATGAGTTGACAGCTTCCATAGCTTAATCAAAGGAAAAAAGCTTTCAGAAGGAAAGTCGCAGCATTTCCATTCCAAATTTTGCGACATGCTGTCTTTCAAAAGAATACTCAATGAGGGACAAGAACCTTCTGGGTTTTTGCCACAAATTTGAAACCCAGAGGGTAGACTTTCTAACATATAACCAAAATCGCTTTAGCCACCAAACTTCAGACAGAATTTGGTAATATTAAATGGCCAATACTGTCTATGATAGGAGCTTTTGTATAAACATTATTTAATACTATCATACTTTTGTTAGATTTTGTTTACTTTCATGATATTCATTTAAGCA